GGCCTAGTTAGTGAGTTATAAAGGCCTAAAGATTGACCCGTGTGTATCCTCGGACGAGTTTCACCGGCATTATAGAGGCTGCACCAATACAAGGGAACCCATGTAGGAAGTTCAAACAACTTGTCATGACCCATAGCGAAAGTGCAAGACAGCTCTGTGCAGTTCTGGCCTGATGTAGTCAGCTCCTTGCGCAATTGCATTAACTGAAATCTCGTCCGAATACCCCTTCCATGTTATTTCCGTCATGGCAATTACGTCCAACCTCTGTTTTCCCTACTTTTGAAGAGCCATATTTTCCTCGAAATCGGCGAATTCTCTGTACCTCCGATTTTTGAATAAAAACGGGTACCTCAAAACTATCGTGAACTGTGCCTTTAACGAACCCTTTAACTCCTACACTCTAAGACTCCTTGCCAGGCCTAACCAGTTGCTATCACTTCTGACCAACCATTAGTGTTCCCTTGCCATATTCCTTTCGAATTTGAATGGTTTTTCTGAATTTGAATATTCTGGGTTTGGGGAGACAGTGTATTCGGTAGAACAGCCTTGAAGCATATGCACATGCACAAATACCTACCAAACAGACAAGCGAACTCACTGACACACTATCAGTCACCTTCAGCGACTTATGTGTGAGATTCAGTGATCGTCTTCTTCTTGGTAGAATAGATCGGTGGATTGACCAGTGCAGAATCGTAATTTGAGTATGTACCCAAGCAAATAACTCAAAAGCCAACTTTCATTAAAGTAAACAGATCTGGATTTCTCCACGTTCACCATTGCCCTTACAATCCATAACAGCCATATGGGGGTGGACGGCAACAAGATGTTGTCACTGACTGGTCTGTCAGTGAAAGAAAAGAAAATACCTGAAGCAGAGCTCTGCTTTTCCCTAAATTTTCAAGCCTAAACTGAAATTTTCGCAATGATGGGGCGACCAACGTGCTCATCTCGTCTACCCTAGAACTGCTCTCTTGCTTGATGTCGCAAAGGGCTACACCTGGGCACGGAAGTATTCCACTCAGTCATTTGCATGAATAACTCAGTACTTTCAGCGATTTGTTCGCTCTCCGCCTTCATCGTGTACACGTATTTCAACGAACTGAAGGATAACCAGAACGAGACCCTGAACGGAAACATCACACGAGTACGTCATTTGCTTTTTGCTTTTGTCGCGGTTCCCCCACATTCAGTATCCCATTTCAGTACCACTTCGGCTGGGCGTACTACTGGTGTGGAGGAGCGGCTGCCTGCTTATCGGCTGCGTTCATCTGCAGCTTATTCGCCTCAACTTGTGTTTTATTACACAAGCAACAGAAGAACAAGGTCGACACCATCGTTCTGTGATCATTCAATTTCTTGTAAATTCACTGTTCCCTGAGCTGCTTTTCTCATCTGCTCAGTTATTTCACTTTATTCAGTTGTTACGTTGTCATATCACAAGGCCAAGTGATGCCCGATTGTTCTGGCGTTTTTAGCCGGATGGGCCAACATTCCGAGTGACTTACGTTCTTTCCCTCAAACAGTTACTATTATTTCACAACAGTAGCACTTGTTGTAAAGATAGAATTGAAATATTTATGCAAACAAGATGATTGACAGCACATGTATTTTTTAAATAGTTTAACAGAATGTGGTTAGCGAGAAACAGGTGACAGCGTGAAGTGGAAAACCCGAGATAGTATCGATAAAACAACAACAGTAACCAAGACGAGTGGAGACAGCTATGATTGAACTAAAACAATGACTAGCGCCAGCCATGAGAATGCATCAGAACAACTGCTTTATCAAGTATTTTAGTCCCTACAAACATACTCTCTCTCTAGTTTGTCTTCTTTGCAGCATCGACTTTCTTCGCCTTCTCCTTTTCGTGCTTATCGGTCAAATGCTCTTCATTGTAATTCCATAGCTCCTGAACAATTCATTCAATCCACGGGTTGACCAGTGATCGAATACAAACTTTTTTCCGTAAGCTCCCTCACAACAGCATCATGGTGACAGCCCTACAACTACCCTATTGCGCCGACTCTTTCACATCATTCCCGGAGTCCCTCTCACTAACAAACATTCCTATCAAAGTAGTTCTCATTCGAACTACACACCTTCGTCCTTAAAAGACGTACAAACCCGTTAAAATTGTCCAACTTAAAGCTCCCACGTAATTCTTTCAAAAGTCAAGCCACGCCAACTTAGAGAAAATAACGAAGAGACTTTTAGAACGCCGTCTCATCAATGGGGACCTTTATTTTCACTTTTTTGGAAATGGGGAATACTCTCTAGACGACGACCTTCCTGCGAACTTTTCCATCAATTTCTCAATAATGCTCCCGCTCAAAGAGATACGCTAGGGACATATTGTTGGCAAAAAAATGACGCTCACGACGAGCATTCCAGTGTAATCACATCTTACTAATACTCTGTTACATTATTTGTTATCACTACCCATTTTTGCTTTTATCCTGTGGCGGATGATCAAATGAGAAGTAAAAAAGGGAAGGGCGACATCAGTTCCGAAAGGCCTTTCAACCAAACGTACGGTCCAGCGGATCAAATCCGTCTACTTCCAGAATCGATTGCCTGATTTGTCTGAGAGGACAAATGCGTCGAGGAATCGACAAGCCGTTGTACAGAATTAATAGATGGTGAAAAACCTAGCTGCTGAACACGATTTTTCAGCTGCAACAATCAACTTCCACGACCTAAACATCCGTAAGGACATGAACATATTCACACTGTTCACGAATCTCAAGTTCGTTGAAGTGGTTGGATCAGAAATCTACATACGTGAGAAGATCGTGCCTCATTTGGAAGGGAAGACAGGAGTGAAAGTTGACGGCCGCCTCTCACATCAACTCTGCTTTGCAGAAGAGTGCTTATAACACCGAACATCGAGCAGGCGCAATGAATATTGGACGAATTAGACAACACGTAAAAGATCGGCTAACGACTGAACCCAACGAATTCGATGTTTCCGAGGAACAGATTGGTAACTGATGTTTTCTTTATGCTGGACGGAACGAATACCTTCGAATGCTCTTGTTACTATCTCGGTCGAAAAGTCAGCCATAAACGACTTAGTTCTGAGTTTGAACAGATGGAAACGCAGCGCGTGGGAAGAATTTATAAGGAACGAGGATATAGTGAAAAAATGAAGATTTTCCGACTTTGCGCTCACCTTTCGACAATGCAATCTTTTCTGCTTCGATGTACGCCTCGGATAATTGGAATACAAAACCAGGATTAACATGCAGTCAGTGTCATTCAACGCTCTGTGGTAAGAACGACGTTTCCTATACACGCAACTGCAGAGGGGAATCCGGAGTTCCGAGTTTCGTCAACGGTTGAAGTACAGGGAGCCGTTACTTACGCCAAGGAATCGAAGATCAGGCGAGCCGGACACCTTATGCGCTACTGTGAACACGATCTACTGGACTAGTTTGGCTCACGAAATTGGCGAATGGAGACGATAGTGGTGCCGTGTGATGAGAAAATCGATGGTCCACGAGACGACTGATGATGAGGGTTATACGTTTGGGTATCACACGTGACCCATCACGTCCATACTTCACGAATAATCACCTGATTTGGGAGTTACCAATGGGTTCGTGTTAGAATGACCAACTAGTCAAATTAAGTTTTGGCCATACTTGTTAACAGCCAACACCAGACCAAGGGAGCCCGTGGAAGTACAAAGAAAATGTTAACTTTGTTGTTCCCACACTCTTACCCAACAACCGAAAAGGCTAGTTTGTAGCACCCTATGAGGACTACATTAACTTTGTGGCTCAAAGTTTAAGCAGTATAATCATTGAAATCTATAACGGAATTGAGTCCTGAATCGACTACTTTTCCGATATTGAAAAATAGAGCAGCGGCGTCTAAACACTCCCCCCCCCCCCCCCCCCCCCCCCCCCGACAATCTAGGGTATCTTGGTACAGTAAAGACAAACCTTTGCCTCTCCAAAACAGGAGGATACAACTAGTGGAACAAAAAGACAGCATGGCACCAAGTATAACAATGCTGGCTGCGCAGCCTGAAACTAAGTTTGTTCAGAGGAGACCAAATAGTAATTAAAACAGCAGTAATGAAATTTGAGAACAACAAACCTTAAAGTGGTGCATAACCAGCATGGTTATCAAAAGACCAATAGCATAGGCTACGATAGTGATAGTAAAGAAGTACCTAAAGAAAAACGTGTCAGAAGGATAACTAATTAACGCACTCTATTGGAACTTTACTCACCGACGTCCCTGTTTCTTTTTCGAATCTTTGTCGCCTATCCTTAGATCGAATCTTCTAAGGAGAGCTATGAATATTCCAGGGATAACAATATCACCAAGACCTGCAATTGGTAGATGACACGGGCAGATTTTCCTCAAATAAAAACGAATTTTATGCAAATGAATATTTTTATTACCTAGCATACTGTGCTTGCTAGCGTCCTTCCATCCATGTCTAAGGATGTCTTGAGGAAACTGCAGTAGAATCGGGGCGTCTATTCCCTTTGCGACCGAAGTCATCACGTCCGTTGCGAACACCCAAAATACATCGTAGATGAACAGTCCAACAAGAAGGAGAGATCCTGCCTGAAAACTTTTGCAATACAATGAAAACAAAGAGAGAAAATCTGCAGCGAATCAAAGCTTCACCAACTTTAAAGCTACTGAGATGAAGGTTTTCTATTCCATAAATAGAGAAAGCGATTCCGATGATATTGTTTGTGATCCAATGCCGCTGATAAAGATGAGAAAATGCTACTAGTAAGCACAACGAGATAGCAACTATATCATGAGTGTCAACTTCAATCTTCAGTAAGTATTCCTGGAATAATGCACATTTAGGTTAACGTATGCTGCAATTGTCTACACATAAATATGCCTACGGCCTTTCCGCAGCGTGAAACTGCTTGATATGAGACATGAAAAAGAATTCACCAAATCAGTGAATGATGGGCAATCTCGGACGGGACTCGAACCCGTACTTGTGCTTTTCACGCTATTTTATTCCTTACACTACCGAAACCGCATTGGCCCTTCCATGGATTTCAAAGATATCTATTAAAGGCATATCTTGGTAGTATGAAAGATAAAGAGCATAGCACTCAAGAAGCACAAGCACAGGTTCGACTCCGGTGCTTGTGCTATGGGAGCGTATTGCGCCGTAGTTTTGCTTACAACTGGTCAATATTGGATTTTGAGAGAGTTTCGCATCACGCACTGCGGCAAAATAACAGTAACATAGACAAATGAAAAAATCTTTCAGAATTAGACTCCTCTTGAATATTCACCAGAATTCACGGATAACTAGCAGCCGTACGCGGGATAATATTCTAGGAAGAGCAACAGAGTCGGTTAAAAAACGTAATGGTAAGTAGCAGAACTTTCCGACACCTGCACATCCGAAAAGAAAAACGTAGCCAATAAAAGTATAGCTACCTAATCAACGAAAATTCAACTGACATATATACAATATAGTCTCATACAATACTCGCAAAAAACACGAATGGAGGGATGGATGGCAAAGAGTTCACAGGAACTTTCATTGAACCAAAAGTACAGATGTTCCGAATATAATCAAAAAGTTTCTGTGAAATTAGAGATCTCAATATGCCCCGATAAATGAGAGCGACGCCCATATTTAAAACAGAAAATTGGGGCCAGATTTTCTGCTTAGACGGAACGACTCCCCATTCATGAATAGAGCAAGGAACCTCGATCCAAGGAATGACGGAAAGCTTGGTTATAGTAAAATGGAAACCGTAAGGGCCGAGAACAAAAAAAAAACCTTCGTGGCACGAAATAGAGGGTCAGAAACAGAAAATAACAACATATAAAAAATATCGCGTTTGCCACTTTTTTAAGGGTAAATTAAAAAACATCTGTATCTAGGAATAATCATTGGAATAACCTTATACTTAGATTCAAAGCGTCTCTGATTGACGCTTGTTGTCTAATCGAATTCAGAATATTCGACGGCAACTTACATAATCGCTCTTCTTGGCATCTTCAATGTCGCCCTCTTCCATTTCCTTGTTTCCTTTCTTGATCGATAGAAGATAAGGTATGTTGAGACGTGGCCGACGATTACCAATCGGTAGCAAAGACAGGAAAAATGAGAACAAGGGCTTTAGAAGAGCAGCAAGTGCAACGCAACCTGCAGCATAAAAACTGAAAATGTAGCTCACTGCGGATACACACTATTGAAGCACCTTCATAGCAGATCAAGACGAGGAGTAATTTCATCACGTGAGCCTTCGTGATGGATGGAATGTATTCAAGATAGGGATGAACATCTTCTGGTAGTTTGTTAGCGAGTCTGAATAGCGCATTGCTTTAGTACCAAACCATTCCGTAGGAAATTATTAACCTGTTCATACAATGAAGTGATTTATAAGGCTAAATTCTCAAAACTTAATCGTACCGCGCAAAAAGGCTCGGACCTTCACTTTTCGCAAGAGTGTTGTTTAGTATAGCGGAATATGCCGTGGGAAGATATTTACCACCGATTCCCATGAGCCATTCACGGCCATTCGGCCTGAAACATTTGTCGCAATAGCTTACAGTCATAAAATGATAAGCTCAAGTCATTTAACGTGGTAGTTGACTTACTTGAAAAACACGTAAAGCGTAAATAGTACTAGTGAAGCAGTGAAGGGAAATTTTTTTGCTTCGGACATTGATATTGACGCCTGAAACAAGATCGTTTCATGTACATAAGAAATAAAAAAAATGAAAATAGAAAAAAAAGAAAAAAATGAAAGTGAGAACCTCTAGAGGGCGCTTCTTGAGAACCTGCTTTTTGACATAATTGGCTGACCGTATACCACCAATGATAATACATAACAGTGACATTGCATACAGAGAACACGACGACATCGCCTAAATGCTTGCGATAGAAGTGATACCTTGGCATTAACCACAACCACTTATTCGATATGCACTAGGCAGATGCAGGCCGACCAAAATTTGGCGCATGAAACATTTGTTTCCCATTTCTTCCTATGTATGTGGAAGACGCTTGAAATAGCCCGGAGACTGACATTCACCTCACGTTATTTAAGGAAGATTTTGACGAGCTCAAAGAATTTTCGAGAGAATCCGATAAAGAAACGAATCAAATCAACAGTGATAACAGTGATAGGGTGCAGGGCAAGGCGAATAAAGAGCTGTGCTCTCGGTGAAGTTCACCTTCGTCGGACTTCTGCTAAAGCCTGCAAGTATTACTACAAGAGCATGGTAGAAGTCAGTGAAGAATTCAAACCGAAAAAGAGGAAAGTAACTAAGTCACAGAGCCCTACAAAAAGCTGCCTTCACTCAATGAAATCTGAAAAATACCTTGCAAATCTTTGAGATAGAAAATTAAAAGCTGTCTAACCTAGAAACTAGATGACTTGGTGGAGAATGTTTGCAGATAAGGTGGGTAGCACAGAAACAGATCTTATAGAGGCAGAGTTTTCACATGAAGGAACTATTCTTCACAAGCAAAAAGCGTGATGACTGCAACGACAGTTGCTTTTCCTTGACCAGACTCTCAACGGGGCTTTCCTATAGAGCCTTCGTGGCCCTGAACCCACAGATCTCCTAATGAAAAAGACAAAAATGTTGTTCCTTCAAATAGACAAATTTTCTGCGCTCTGGGGTCTGCTGCGGCCCTCTAGAGAACCATAGATCCTCCTAAACTGCAAACAGCCTCATTATCTGAATATAAACCTGTCTTTCCTCACGTCTATTTCAAAGTTTCAATAGCCTAAACAGATGTAAACACAAAAAAAGCATACCTGTTCCTCAAACGTAAACGTTATGTTTGCGCTGGCATTGTTAACAGGCGGAGCGGTGGTAGTCGGATCTGCCATGGTAACCCAGTGTTTGCAGTACTGAAAAGACGTTTGCTCGGGGGAATTACAACCAAAGAATTACATTTCACGAGCGCTGCCAGCCTTACGCATGGACACGTGTAGTACGCGTGGCCATTCGCTCCGCCCCTCGATCGCGATTGACCAGCTTTGCCACGGATCGGCAGCCGATTGGTTGATTCTGAAGAGGGCGGAGCACGTCAAGTTGCAAAACTGCGCACACCTTGCGGAAGTGCCAGAGAGTTCGGCCAAGGATGAGGGATTAGACGGAGACTGGCGCACTGCCAGCGCTGGAGGCGTGGCATGGGCGGGTGTTGGCAGCGAGATGTGGGGCAAGGACAACTTATTCTCGGGAGCACCGGCTCAGTGGTCGGTCATTTGGGACACATCACTGTCGTCATGCGGCATTCGATTTCCATTGTTGCCCTCATCGGCCTCGTTACAGTTATAGGTGCGTTTTCCATTCATGCCATGTGGTGTTTTTTTCATATTCAATATATCGTCATATCGACGTTCCACGTAGTAGTGCATAATCAACCAGTGGAATATTTATTTAGGCGGGGATATTCGTGAGTTCAAAATGTTATCTTAGCTCAGCTTTAGAAAGAAACTCGTAGCTGACAGATAATGTTGACAGCCCGTGTTCACTATCTGTATTCGGTGTCTTTGCCTTGTATTTTATGTTCACTGAGAGTTACTTTTGTAGTTTCAACATTGATGTCTTTTCAGCTCTTCATTCTTCCTATTGTATAGCCGAAGATCCTCTGGAAACTTCTGACAAAGAGAAACCGAAAACTCAAGATGCCGCTAAAAGGTGAGATGTAGTATCGTGATTCCTCTACCATAGTCGGCTGAGCCGGATTGCCGGTCCATAATCATAGCGGCAGATGCCTAAATATAATCTGCGTAGTGGCTTCAAGCGAAACCGAAGGTAGAAAACGATTTCAAATCAACTGGGGAAAGGTCACGATGAGTACAGAGTCCGTTGTGTAGCCTTTTTTTTTACACTAATGTGAAGCGGAAGTGGAGTTCGTTATTCATTTGATAAGGGTTTCTTATCAACAGTCACGGTTTTGGCTTACATAGTTCTTAGGCGACTTAATTATGACTGTGCTTTCGATCTTAAAATTTGACATCTGCCACTTGCTTTGTGTGCTTCGCTACATCCTTATCATTTGAAGATAAGCCATTGCAATCGTTGTTGTCATAGCGAATGCTTTCGAGTGCGTATGTTTTTATGGCTTCACCTCCACTCCATTAGCCACTAGCCTATTAAAATCCGCTTAGCATCCCGTGAGGTGGTAACCAGTAATCATAATTAGTGTTGAGCTGAAATTTCGTGGGATTCTCTACGACGATGCTACGAAAGGGTACTTGGAATAATTAGGATCGTACTTGGAATAATTAGGATCAAGTGCGGCGCCTTAACAGTGATTTGGCCTGCCGTTTAAGAAATTGCTTTGTCGTGATTCGGGAGTGGTATAGTACCAAATGCAAGTCACTTATCTCCTCGCGATCGGTTAAACACCAGGCTCGTGTGGGAGCGTAAACATTAAATTGTATATCGATCGTCCACAGAAAGTCATTGTGTGGACCATGTACAGTTCCGAGGGCACTAAGATTCTGATTGGAATTGTAATGCGCATCCTGAAAGCAGGATTGGTCAACGATGGAGGTCTACATTAACATTACATTTTGAGAAACAGAATATGCTCACTACGGACCATTTTCTTAAACGACATGAGAACACGTAATGAGTTGTGTTTGGGAAGTTTTGGTTTCACCATCAAGGCTGACTAGCCCTGGTTCAGAACAAATTAGTTGTTTTGCAGTTATTCAAGTTGATTTTCCTAATTCCAGATTAGCTTAGCCATGAGCCCTGCATATGGTCCCTTTCTCTTCCCCATTCCATCCACTAGACCCAAACATAAGGAACTGAGCTAAAGCGTATGCGGTCACTCGGCAAATGAGGTGGTGTTTGCAGTGCCGGGTGGTAGAGGTCGGGTGTGTCTTTTTGTTTGATCACTACCCGCCCTTCCGCCGTTTCCGATATTTGGCCTGGGATCTTAGGATTGACCCCACCTGTCACAAAATTTTGCGGAATGTATTGTATTTTCGGGGACAACATGTTTCTTTAGGATCAAAAAAGGGCCAAACCGTCCATGCTTGATATCATACTAATGCGATATAGTGGATACCGCAGGTTCTGTCCCAGACTGTTCAATAGAAGCGATTTTCGATTTAATGCGTTATTCGTTCAAAGTGATGCCCCTTGCGCAGTGATACACCCATTTTTGGCTAGCCTTTTTCTGTTTGCTCTTATGTTCTGCCATCACAATTGAACTACAGAATATTAGGCCTAACTTCCCATTATGTGATCTGTTTCCCTTTCGCCGGTTTCTAGAACTGAACAACCTCCGCCTTCCTTTCTGCGAGGTTGCAATTCCTTTTCCTTGTATTCTTTTTGATGAGCCTGAGTTCGATTTTCTCGCTTTGACTGTGTTATTCATTAATTTCAAACAATCTTCACTTGTGGGTGGTCTTCTGCTGTCATCTTTGTGGCAATTGCCCCTTAATGTTCCGGCTTATACAACTTGTGCTGTTGCAGGATTACCGCTTTTATATGTAAAGCTGTAACTTGGTATGACCGTTGTTGGTCGGTCTGTAGGATTGCCTGTTTGTTTGTGGGTTTGTCCGTCCGCCATTCTACATGATTATGACAGAGGTAGTGACCCAGAGAATCCACCGCAAGTTAGGGTAGTTACTTTGAGAGTGCGCTCAGAAGGTGGAGATGTTAGTGATCGCACTTATGCAGCATAGCGTAGTTGTGTACATTGTCACGGAAATTTCGATCAATCGATGGAGTAATATCGATCGAACTGGCAGTCATTACTAACCTGTCTTCTGCAGTAGAGCAGCTACATAAATTCGTAGGCTATACTTGTCACTATGCAAAATCGGGAGAGTACCTTTTCAATGAATTCGAATGGAAATAATTCAATAATGTTTGCAGTGATGAGGAGACGATTAAACTGGAGGGACTTTCGCCTCAGCAAGTCAAAGAGTTGCAAACGAAAGCTGAGAAACACGAATTCCAGGCGGAGGTTTGTATCAGGACAATCAAAGCGCTGAACTTATTAGTTAGTTGATGGTAACTACAATTATTTAGGTGAATCGCATGATGAAACTGATCATTAACTCGCTTTACCGTAATAAGGAAATCTTCCTCAGAGAGCTCATATCAAATGCTGCTGATGCATTGGATAAAATCCGATTAATTTCTTTGACCGATCCTAGTGCCCTCCAAACTAACGAGGATATGAGTATAAGAATCAAAGTAAGTTGACTTTTTAAGTACTATTACGTTCGTACGTTTTTTCGGGATTCCATTCAGAATTTTTTTTTCAATTGACCATAAATGTTGTTATTTGAGGCTGACAGGGAGAATAAACTCCTGCATATCGTTGATTCGGGTATCGGAATGACTAAGGAAGAGCTCATGAACAACCTTGGAACTATCGCTCGGTCAGGTACTGCGGAATTCCTGCAGAAGTTAATGGATACCTCAACGTCTGCGGATGTTCAACAGGTCAGTTCGAAGTACGATATTTGATTATCAAGAAATGAATGGAATAATTCAAATTTAGGAGCTTATCGGACAGTTTGGAGTTGGTTTCTACTCGGCTTTCTTGGTAGCTGATCGCGTAGTGGTTACCACGAAGAGTAATGATGATGAACAGTATATTTGGGAATCTGATTCCGGCTCCTTCTCTATTGTGAAAGACCCACGTGGACCCACTTTGAAACGCGGAACGCAAATCACTTTACACATGAAGGAAGAAGCTAAGGACTTCCTGGAGCCGGACACGTTGAAGAACTTAGTGCACAAATATTCGCAGTTCATTAACTTCAGCATCTTTTTGTGGCAGTCCAAGACTGAAATGGTAGAAGTGCCAACTGAGCCAATTGAGGAAGATGGCAAGAAGGAGGATGGCGCAGTTGAGGAGGAAAAGGAAGAAAAGAAGACCAAGACGATCGAGAAGACAACTTGGGACTGGGAACGTGTTAACAACGTGAAACCAATTTGGATGAGGAAGCCTAGTCAAGTGGAACAGGAGGAATATGATGAATTTTACAAGAGCATCACGAAGGACTTTGATAAGCCCCTCACCCACGTGCACTTTTCAGCTGAAGGTGAAGTGTCATTCAGATCGATTCTTTATGTGCCCAAAACTTCTCCCAGTGACATGTTCCAAAATTACGGGAAGGTTGTCGAAAATATCAAGTTGTACGTACGTCGGGTGTTCATCACTGATGATTTTGCTGATATGATGCCGAAGTATCTCGCCTTCATTCGAGGTATTGTCGACTCAGATGATCTTCCTCTCAACGTTTCTCGTGAAAACCTCCAGCAACATAAACTTCTGAAAGTAATCAAAAAGAAATTGGTGCGAAAAGTACTGGATATGTTGAAAAAGCTGGAAGGTACACAGTTCGATGATTTCTGGAAGGAGTTCAGCACAAATATCAAGCTAGGAGTCATGGAGGATCCAAGCAACCGAATCAGGCTCGCTAAACTTCTCCGGTAAGTATCCTGCAGAGAGGATTTGATATCGTTGACGATACCTGATCATAAAAAAATAATTTTCAGATTCGCTTCGTCAGCAGACAAGGAGAAGTTAACTTCCTTAACCGATTATGTTGAGCGTATGAAGGAAAAACAAGATAAAATCTACTATATGGCAGGAACATCTCGTGAGGAGGTTGAGACCTCACCATTCGTTGAACGTCTTATTGCAAAGGGATACGAAGTGAGCGCATCTTTGTAAATAACTATATTTCAATCTTACAATTCGGAACTAATAGGCTTTAGGTGGATAACGTTCTTTAGTTGATCTATGTTTTATTTCTTTTGATAGTTCCATATGTTATAGGTATTATACTTGACGGAAGCTGTTGATGAGTACTGTATTCAATCAATGCCAGAATTCGAAGGAAAGAAGTTCCAGAACGTTGCTAAGGTACCACCTGCAATCCTTTTCAAATGCTTATAGATTACGAGAAGGAAATATTTCATTATAGTAGCGCTTATGGTGTCTATTGTATTGACTTTGCTTAAAAAACTTTTTTTCTATATTTTTAAGAAAATAAAAGTTCTTCTAGGAAGGAGTGAATATCGATGAATCCGAGCAAGCAAAGGAGGCTCACAAGAATCTCGAGACAGAATTTGAACCTCTTACATCTTGGCTGAAGGATACTGGGCTGAAGGTACATTTTGTTGTTTATTCTTAGGCCGTGTTTGTTCATAAATTAACTGTTTTCTACCATATAAACTGTATTTCTTTTTTTTTTTCAGGGTTTAATTGAGAAAGCCGTCGTTTCACAACGACTCGTGAAATCCCCATCAGCACTGGTGGCATCGACCTACGGTTGGTCAGGAAATATGGAGCGTATCATGAAAAGCCAAGCTTATGCTAAAGCCAAGGACCCTTCGCAAGACTTCTATGCAAATCAGAAAAAGACTTTCGAAATCAATCCCCGACATCCAGTAGTAAAGGAGCTACTTCGACGTGTTATTGAAGACAAAGAGGATCAAAAAGCCAAGGATACTGCTCTTCTTTTATTCGAAACTGCTACCCTCCGATCAGGATTCTCTCTCAAAGACCAGGTTTGCTTGGCTGCCGTCCAATAGTGATAGAGTTGTCTGGTTTCATTCTCATATAGCACTTCTTAAGGTTGGTTTTGCTGAACGCATTGAGTCAGTTCTTCGGCAGTCACTCAATGTGGCCGCTGACGCAGAAGTTGAGGCAGAACCGGTCATCGAAGAAACTGAAGAGGCCGAAGATGCTTCTGAAGAAGCTGACGCCGAATCAACCACGGAAGAAACCAAAGTGGAGGAAGAGCACTCTGAGCTTTAGGTCGTTGTTACAACGGTGCAATATTCTGTGTGACCTACCTTTTTGTTGTAATTGTTAGTGGTCTGTTGTGATCAGGGGTTTTGAGTCCCATTCATCGTCTCATTGATACGGTTTCCCTTTTGTTTCATTTTTTCGTGTTATGAAGGTAATAAATATTTATAACTTATGGAGGTGAAGTAGTGCACTGTCTTCTTCTTACATTCGAGTATCAAATCCAGGATCAATACCCACCGAGAGCCACTTTCGGGAGCAAGGACCTGCCACATTCTGGAACGTTTATCGTCTTTGGCACAAAATTGCGATGTGGGTGCGGTTTCTTGAGGTTAGTTAAATGAGCAAGCTGAGGTATCCAAATGTTAATCAGGTAGAAAACCAGGATGTAGATTGATTGCTTCATGCTGCAAACCACCGAAAAGTAGGGAGTTCCCTTCCACTTGACCATTATTTTGTTCACGATAGAACACATCGTCCAAACAATTATGTTCGATTTAAACAGAAATCGTCAAACAACATAGAGACGATGTCAGTAAATAGCAGGATACGTTCCCGAAATCGATTCACAAGGAAGTACGACTTTCACCCACTCGCACTGCACTACAATATGTAAATACTTTGTCTCCACATCATGCCATGATACTTGGACATTATAGACTTTTGCTGCGTTAAACCACACTACGGAATATCACTGGCTATTCTTGATCCGCTGTTAGGTCGGTGTGAAGGTGCGTGGTGAGAAAATCATCAGGGGAAGTTGGACTTCTATATTTCATATGGTTTGGGGAACTCATTTGAAAATGCAATTTGTTACTGGACTGAAACTAACATTTGCGGGCCAACCAAAAGTCGCTAAGGAGTGACAGCTAAAATGGTCAAAATACATCAACATTTAGGCCGTTGCAACAATGATATTTTGGCATCACTGGCTGCTTTCATGGTCCGCCGTCCGGCCCGTGAGCTGAATCTTGGCCGATATCGACGGACGAGTAGTCCCCGGCGGCTCGCTCACTATAAAAGCAGCCAGTCATGAGGCGAAGGATTAATAATTGTCGTCGTGATGATCAGGACATTGAGAAACACATCAAAGAAACCTCCAGCCGAACCTAATCTCTTGCGGAATATATGTTTACAAGAGACAGTTTATTTGTAAGCATACACGTAAACAATCATATACACTTCTATACTGAACAGAGAATAAGAGGCGTTTCGTTAAAACTATAAATACGCTACTTTCCTCAATAACGATTAGTGAGCACCGGGTTAAAGCCATAAATCCATGAACAAGTCAACAAAAACAGTACCCATTAGCCAAACTCAAACTTAACAAGCAAAACCAAAAGAATGTAAAAGCACCTGAACGGATCACGTAAACAATTTGTTGACACATTCTGTGAAGAACGTGGGGTTTTTTGCCGACAACATTTCCCATAAGTCCTCCACCTACATTTGCAACATTATTTGATGTAAGCAATACACAATGGTACATACCTCCTCTGTGAGCATCATAACCGCACTCATTGTTGGGCAATCAGTGGCACAGCTCGTATCCGTACACTCCGCAGAGTGGATGATTGTCGGCTCCGTGTCCTGCGATGAAACCTTTTAATGAATTTTTTGATACCTGTTTAGTGGAAATAATTTAGTTACCCCTGTGAGTCCTAAGCGTTCCATAGCAGCTTGTATTTCATTTTTGTCCCGTTTTTTTGGTTTTTCTGGTACCGTGACAGGTTCTTCTTGAGGCGATTCCGGAACAATCAGAGATGTGACATCTTCGGGAGGAGAGAGCAACTTAAAAAAGTTGAATCTATGATCGTATGCAAAAAACGAGCAAAATCTTATAACGGTGAAAAAATATGCAAAAATTCATACTGAAGGTAGGACTGCTGTTTAAAATATACTAACTGATTGTTTTAACAAAAGTTAATCATATAGAAAAAGATAAATATCAAGAATGATGATAAAAAGTCGAAATCCGTATTAATGAGGAAAAGTCTAAATCCGTACATAATCCGGCGGTTCTTGATCTCCTATTGACAAAACCATAAATGGTGTGCGGGCGGATCGAACGGCTTCTGTCTCCGGCACTGATCGTGTGACCCACACAGTGAACCTATAAGCCATTAAAGGTACAATTTGAAGTAATTTGTGCAATAGTAATAGAGCATTTCGAACTACAGGGTGTCCCAAAATTATTTGCGCCGGTTTATAGCAATATATTTGAAACTTCTCAACTGCGAAAGACGATGTTATTTCTATGAACGCTAGCTAACACTATGTGCTACAACATGCTAAAGTCACATCTCAAAATATCCCCCGTGAGCGCGAATAGAATTCAAAGTTTGCTTTCGACTTGATCGCATGTGGCACGCAGGTATCCTTCTTCATTTCTTCCCAGCCGTCCTCCGGCTTTTGCATTCTAGGACTCCAAACTGGGACTGCAGACTCGACAGGTCCTCTTCTAATCAGGGACCATTCGTGGGATTCAAGTGAGTTAAGTTCTGGAAAATAGGATGACCATTCCTCTTCACCAATGAAGTCGGGCAGCTGTCGTCGGCACCACTCGCGGGCAAGCTTGGCTCTGTGAGCTGGAGTAGCGTCCTGCTGGAAGGACTATGAGATGTTTCGGAAAATGTAGTCGGATCAATGTTTTATTTACTTCCATTAGTACGTCGTTTGAGTACTGGTCTTGGTCAACTTTCACGCCTGCACAGAAGAAACCACTAGCGGCTTACCCTTGCCAGTGATTTCCTCGAAAAACATCATTTTACTGTTCTGATAGCAACCTTTTTGTGAGGTATTACACGCTGGATGTTTCTTTCCGGAACGCGAAGTTTTGGTTGTTGAGGGATTGTTTTATCGCAAAAAATTTTTTGATCAGAGAAAACGACGAAGAGTTGCGTGTCATCACTTAATTGGGTCTGCGACTTTCTGCATTTTTTGGCCCTGCAGAGTCTATTGAGATCGGGATTGGAGCATACGATAGGAATGGTAGTGAGGCTTCTGCATGACATTCTTCCATGGCTATAACTCCTGTAAGCCGTGCCCGTTCCCTTCCTTTTGATGGGTCACCCAGGATCCCGACCGATTGGCATACGGACCATTTTAATAGTCCTATCTTCAGAAACATTCGACCTTTCTATCTTTCCTGGTTTGTCTCTGATTCAATCTTCTTTTCTATCTCGTTTAATAGCCTCCTATACGGNCTTAAAAATTACTGAACTTTGGCGCAAATAATTTTGGGACACCCTGTATAAGGTAACCTTTGAAGGAACCATTGGTTGGATAAGTGTTTGAGATGAAGGGGAAGTTTTGAAAAGTTTTCGCCACAACAGAGCAGTATGCGTTAGTTACTAATAACGATACACGATGTTCGATGAGAGTATTACATTTGCCTACAGCTTTCACACTCGGATAATTACAAGAAAGTTTGGGGCGAGAATCCCGTTTTTGAGATTTGTAGCCACCCTGATGTGTTGCATCATAATCTAGTGTTCCTGGCAGGAATAAAGGTCGGATTACTGAGAATCTGTATGTCGTCCTGATCATCTGCTTTAGTCGTGTAGTTTGACACATGAATCACATGCAGCAGTTGGCTTTTTTTACGACAGACGTGTTCCATTTTTAACGACTTTAGTCTCTACGAGGCTGCAAACACGCCCTTTCTTGGAAGTGTCAAGCATCGGTGGGCGTCGAGACCGTCCCTTTGTGCTCTTCGTCCTTGACGCCAGGAAGTAGAGTGCATAGAGACCGCGCTAGAGCGCAGAGGTGGTTCCAGTGCTTCTAAAATTCAGGGGAGACGCTCCGGGGTGGGAGAAATGATTATCTCGTGGAAAAAGCTGGGATGGTGTAAGAACATCCAATTGGTTCACCCACGCCGTAGCTCCTTCCTTAACTTTTAAAAGGGAGAAGCTTCGGGATGAGTAAGATGGTTAGATAGAGTAAGAATTGAGAGACGCAGAGCACAAAAGGGCTCGGCACCCCCAACTACATTTTCACCCTTTCTTGAATTGTACCTTTAAATGAAAGTCAATTCCGAAGTTTTATCTGATGTAAAAATGCACAGCTGGCAACAGCTGTAGTAATGTGCAATGCAGAAGCTTTCAAAATTTGCTTACTGATGTCCGCAGGGTGCAATTGTCCGCATCGCAGCAAGCGCCTACGTGGCGCAGAGGTAGTGCTTTCGCCCGTCACTTGTGGTAATTCACCGGCCTCGTCGCAGTTTTTGGCTAACGTGGTTTTGGCGCTATTTACCCTTTCCTGCCCTACTTAGTCGAGAATGGACTGGATTTCCATCAAATTTTTTTCGAGAAGATGAAGCCTACTAGAAACTTGCCTAGAGGGGTAATTCGAACCGTCCCGTATTCCCCTAGAGGGGATTTTTTTCTTCGAAAGAAAGCTTTACCCTCCTCTGATACTAATTGTAGTTTATATGACTTTTCTCTGTTTTTAATACTGAAACCGTGAGAGAAATCGCCTTGCAATAAGACGCCTGAAAAATTCAACAATGATGAAACAACCAAAAGCTACATATGTGAGGGAGACAAGTTACGTTGTTCACAAATTTCACAACTTATACAGGGTGTCCCAAAATTATTGGCGCCAAAATTCAGAAAATTCTAAGGTAGAAATAATTTATCAAATTTACACTATCTGTCATTAAATAGTTGCAAAAGGTTTCCTTGCAGTATGCATGGTTACTGATGTGGAGCTCCCAGTATCTTTCAGATGGAGGAGGCTGATTCAATGCCATTTGCAATCATTGACACGCGAGAGGTGGAAGGGCATTATGAAACTCCTTGGGATTTTTATAATAACCGTATAGAAGGTTATCAAACGATATGGAAAAGAAGATTGAATCAGAGACAAACCAGGAAAGGTAGAAAGGTAGAATGTTCTTGAAGATAGGACTATTAAAATGGTCGGTCTGCCAAACGGTCGGGATCATGAGTGACCCATCAAAAGGAAGTCAACGGGCACGGCTCACAAGAGTTATCGCGATGGAAGATTGTCATGTAGAAGCTTCATTGCCATTCCTATCGTATGCAGAAATTTCGCTTCAATTCCAATCTCAACAGACACTGCAGGGCCAAAAAATGCAGAAAGTCGCAGACCCACTTGAGTGATGACACGCAACGCTCCGTCGTTTTCTCTGGCCAAAAATTGTTTTACGATAAAACCAACTCTCAACGATCAAAACGTTGTCGTTCCGGAAAGAAACATTTAGCGTAAAATATCTCACAAAAAGGTTGCTATAAGAACAGTGAAACGTTGTTTTTCGAGCTCACTGGCAAGGGTAAGCCGCGCGTGGTTTCCTCGGTGCAGGTATGAAAATTGACCAAGACAGTACTCAAAGCGCGTACTGATGGAAGTAATGAAGCACTGATTCGACTACGTTTTCTGAAACATCTCGTAGTCCCAGCAGGACGCTACTCCAGCCCATAGAGCCAAGCTGAACCATTCGTGGGAGACAAGTGAGCCAAGTTCTGGAAAATAGGTGTCATCGTCCATGGTCCCTCGGGGTCATCGGGACCATGGACAATGACACCTATTTTCCAGAACTTGGCTCACTTGTCTCCCACGAATGGTTCCTGACTAGAAGAGGACCTGTCGAGTTTGCAATCCCAGTTTGGAGTCCTAGAATGCAAAAGCTGAAGAACGGCTGGGAAGAAATGGAGAAGGATACCTGCGTGCCACATGCGATCAAGTCGAGAGCAAACTTTGACTTCTATCCGCGCTCATAGGGGATATTTTGAAATGCGACTGTAGTATGTTGTAGCACATAGTGTTAGTTAGCGCATAGAAATTCCAATTCCATTCGCAGCTGAGAAATTTCAAATATATTGCTATAATCGGTACCAATAATTTTCGGATACCCTGTACATAGTTTCCGCCTCTGTAGAGGCATACACATGAGCCAATTGTCTTAGGAATGAATATGGTACATGAGGGTGGATCAATATTTCGACAGGGCAGATCATCGAGACTTGCACCTGAACTAATGTTTAGTCTTCATGTATGAAGTCAGAAATCATACCGTCCTCTAAGAAATTCAAATAAATTGTGTGCAAAAGGGTCTTATCTACGCACGGTCAGCGTAAACGATGGGGTGATTGAGATGTCTACTAGAATAAATATTAGAAAATGACGTGAGAGCTCTCACTGGAAAAAGGCACTCTGAAAAAAAAAACACTGTGCAAAGTTTGGGTCTTCACTGATAGTTCCATGGGAAGTTGAAGATCAGCCCTGGTCAGAAGTCATTTACCAGAATGGCTGCCTCGTCCGTATTGTTAGAGGAGCCTTGGCCGTTTGTGATATTGGATGAGGTGGGATCGTGCAAATGATGGCATTTTGATGAAAACTGATAAAGCTGATAAGAGACCACAGAAAAGCTACGGACTTTGTTCCGCCTACGGCGTTCACAGTGAAACCTTGACACATTTTAGCGTGACGTGAGATGTGTCGGTATTGCGAATGGTTTGTTGTATGGATAAATAACCAACAATAACGGCTGACAATGGCATTTGGGATGCAAGAGTCAATTCATGTTAACAATAAAGCCCTGCTAATACGTTGTGTGGTGTGAGTAGAGCGGACTGACTGAAAATAACGGATGACAGAAATGACAACAATAAACGGTTATATAAACATGTAGCTGTGACACTTTAGTGGTCTTCAACGATGAGTCAGGATAGCAGAATAGTGTGGCAAACAGTGGCAATACCTGCATTTGAAGCCTTTTCCAAGTTTAGTTCCGAAGGAACTAAACTTGGAAAAGAATAGAATAGAATAGAAGGAGAATAAAATTTGGTTCATGCCTTGCTACTGGATTATCATCGCCACGCATCAAGGTATCCGAATCAATAATGGGTAATGTCTTCTCTTCATAAAAGTTTTTTACTTCGTTTTCTATCAGTTGTGACAATATCTATCAACTTAAGAATCTGAATTAGTGCATATACCCATGAAGAAGGATAACGACTATTAACAATGGTGTTATCATCAGTAGACAAGTCGTAGAAAAGTTATCGTGCTAGAATAAACAACAAAAGTAAAATCCAATCTGAATGGGTGATTACTGTTAAGATCAAAAGTAACAAATCGAGACTCCGTAATCACAAGCATAGGCGTCACTGGTACCGAACATCTGTACAGTGCTCTGTTTATGCCGACCTTTTCTACTTTACTGTATCGAAGCTATAGTGGCCACGCAAACGCGGGAAGCCCTCTGCCGATGAGTAACGTAATATTAATTCTAGGGAGAGGAACGGCAAGGCAGTTAGCATTCCGTCTTCGTCATAGGGAGGAGTATAGCTAGGAATATAGTAGTAACATCAGTTGGGTACAAAGTGGCATACCCGACTGATATAACTTATAGTTTGAAATAGAAAATTACCAAAACCAACCACAAACCAAGAGCCTAGGATTAGGGTGTTAATGCAGAGAATACTGAGAAGATTACAAAAAAGTTCAGTTCAAAAGGTGGTTTACTGATACCAAGTAAAAATTGAGAGAAGTGTTATTAAAGGAAGCATACCCTTTCTGCACGCATCCAAATGAACTGCCGGGAAACTAGGGGATACGATAAAAAACGAAATGGAAATCTATATAAATATAAAGCACAACTGTTACTCCGATTGCCCCATGGTGCTACTGAAGCAGGAGATCCGCAGTCTTGAAATATAGGGATTCCGCCGTTATAAACAACGAGGGAGTCATGACGCACATCAGCGCTTGGTACGTTTACAATTATGAACCTCAGCTATTATAAAGGTAAGTCTCTAATCAAAATTCTCAGAGGTACAGAGTGGGGCATAAATGCGGTGACAAAGGTGTTACGAAAAAGGCGCAGAAACATAGTGACGGAGTTCGCATGTTTTTTCTTCATGTCATTTCTTGGCTTAGTGCTTGGATACTTCTTCATTAGTGAATGGTTTCACCTCAACCACCTCCACTCCGTAATCCTTGCCCTTCACGCCGCCAGTCATACTTGTGCCGGACTCTGCCGTATTCTCAAGATACATCGTGACTGTTAATAGAACTTCAAAGCGAGACACACTTAATTATCCTCCTCCGTTATTAAATTTCTTTGTTGTGACAACTATTTTTGGAAAAACACTACATCACTTACTTAGAGCTTTTATTGCGTGGAAGTGTGATATGCGAACCAAGTGCTACCAAACCGAATACAGAGCTCTCAAGACAACTACGAAAATACTTCGGTCGCATCGCTTCAATCAGGAACACTCTCTAAAATACGAGGAAAAAGATTCAAAATAGAGAATTTCTCATAATTTATTCAAAGTTTAAATTACGAACACTAATGGACTGCAGCACAGCATAGCCAGAAGCAGTAGACGTTATCAGTTTGAACGAAAAATATTTCGGCGCTTTAGCTTAACTGCACAACCTCAGACTCAGAGCGTAGTCGCCAGAAAAAAGGGGTCGAGGAGTTGTATTAGGTTGATCAAAAAGTTTTGACATGGTCGAGATCCTTTTCTGTTTTATTTTACAACACAGCAAACAATGCAAGCCAACCAACAATATAGTAGCCATCGTTAGATATAACATTGTATCACCTATCGGACCTATCAGCAATCCCGTTCTCATAGAACTGGGAAGATTGAGAGTCAAAGAGGTCACCGACAACTTCTTCAAGGTTGTCACAGCTGAGGAAATGTTTTTTTTTGTTTGCTAGGAAATCATTGAAGGGCCTTAACAAGTGATCTGAAGGCAGAATATCAGATGAATAAGGTGAGGTGGAACCGTGCTTCAGCCTAGCTCGGCCAATTTTGCACGGGTCTCTTTACCTATGTGAGGCCCAGCCTGTCATGGAGGAGGTGCACGAAAGTTCGTCTACGCCGTTTTACTTGAATGGCTTCCTCAAGATTCTGCTACTGACCAGCGTTATAAAGAGCGGTGACGGTGTGACCTTGCTTGAGCAGTTCGTATTACAGCATTCCTCCTGAATCCCAGAAACAGCAAAAAAGAAACTTCTTGAGATGAAGGCAGGATTTTGAAGGTGTCGAGAATGACGGAGTCGTCGATGACGAAGGGCGTCCCGACCGAAGCTTGTCTCTGAAACCCGTGTCTCCTTCCTTGAAGCGAACGAACCAGCGATGGACTGTAGTGATAGAAATGGTGTCCTACTGCTATACGTTGTTGATGTTGCGAACGGTTGCCGTCGCTCCGATGCCGCGGCGTTACTGGTAGAAGATGATGTATCGAGCATGGTGACTTAAACCAGTGTGGGAAGCGCGCCTATATGTACTCATTACAGAGAAGGTTCTAGAATGTTCCATCACTATCATATGGTACATCATTGGTATCAATTAATAATCGGAAGTTTAGGAGCTTTCAAAAAACCCTATCAAAACTTTTTGATCAACCTAATACCAGAGCAAGTTGCTGCTCCAAGGCTTTCTTTTTACGTGCTTCAACTAGGTCATGCATGAAGAATGCTACAAACATAACCGAAAAAGCAGGCTTCACAGGGAGCCCAGCTAAATTTAGCAAATAATGACTTGAAACTAAGAATTAAGACGTTTCAACTGCTCCCAAACCAGCAGTAGCAAAGAAATACATATTGTAGTGCCGGTTGCACTACGCGACTAGTTCTGACTCCTCTCCCTATTCACCATTGTCTCTTCCTCACATGGTTCGTACCTGCCATACTACTTGTCTCCTTCCTCCTCCAGTGATGAGATTAATGAGAAGCTTGTGCCCCCGTTGTAGTCAGATAAGAGAAAGACTAGCGGTTGTTTTCCTCTCCACATCGGAGAGTAACACTGGTTCCCCCTCGTCCGAGTTTCTGAACTTTGCCAGCCAGATTCTCGCGTAGGGGTGATATATGCTGAGTATTCTCGTACTGTGTCCTCTAGGTCATAGGGGTGTGCGATTTTGATTACGACTGAGATTACTTCGCGCTGAGGTGCAAAGTGACCTCAATCGTGACTAACCTCATCTTAATCACGCGCCTCCCCTCGATCGTAACTAACCTCATCTTACTTATGAGAGTGATGGCGAATGATGAGAAAATGAAACCTCAAGAAAATTAGTCTCTCAACATAAAATTCCCATGGTCTTTAGTTTGAAACTTTATTTTCAAGCTAGACGATAGAAATTTCAACAAAAAATCCAATAAAATGTAAAGAAACCTATTTTTTCTAATAGGAAGTATCTAAAAATAATGATTAAACACTCAAATCAAATGGTCTTGTTCGTCACGAATTTGGACACCATTATGCAAAACTTCTCAATTTGGATGCGATTTGCTCCG